CATCTATCATAGACTATCGATAATCTAAAAAGTTAATTGTAAATAAATAGGAAAAATTGTGTTCATTTTTTTCAAAATAAGAAAGAGTACTAAGAAGAACAATGACAACTGTATTATAAAACATGTGAAGATCGAAAATTGTTTTGCTAGCAATTTAGGTTAAAGTATTGGTGATGGAATATTAGAGTTAGCATCTGTCAGATTATGGTCCCATCAAAAGTGCTAAGATGAAACATGATATACTATTGGAGAAGAAGTAACTCATTTTTATTATAGTTTATAGTTTTGTATGATTCAGTACGATTGATGAAGCGACCAAAGCCATACATAATTTGAATGGAAAAATATTCGATCCACAACCAATTATGTGACGCTCAAACATAGATTCAGTAATAGGTCGTCGATCTTCAAATCATCGACATTTACAGAAAAATATTAGGGTGCCTATTTCTCATCCTATTTCTAGATCAAGATATGTTGCTAATTGCTCTAGAACTTTAACTTCACCAAATAGATGAACATCATTCAATATATAAACTTCAATGCAATCATATTCAAGAATGCATTCAGTTTTCGACTATAATCATCCGTGAATAGGATGAAACTTTCTCAACGACTAGTAGAACTTGGTATTCTGATCTGAAAAACTCATACTCAAAAAGTTTTAAAATGATGTGGTAATGGTCTTTCACCATCGGTACCAGAAGTGTCCCGAGTCAAAACCTGACTTCCAGAATTTATCTATTTCAAAATGATAAAAAATTGGAACTTTTAGAGTATATGTTACTCAATAAAAGATTCATTTTATTATACGAAAAATTTTTCTTTGATGCTACATTTTGCAATAAAAAGTTTCCCAGGAAAGTCAACTTTTTCGAAATTTAGGAAGCTTAATTTCACCGACAAGAACCTCAGATTTCATTATTAGTTGTACATGTGTTAAAATCGTCTTTCAAAGTACTATCTAGTTACAAGATTTGGAAAAGTCTAAAACCAAAGCCGATCGCTAAATAGGAGAGTTTTAAGGGTGAATTTTCACTTTATCTTATAAACTTCTCAAGTGTCGACTGAGTAAATTAAGGATTCAGTTGAGGAGAACAATACATATTCATAGCATATTCAAAGTGAACTAATAAAAAAAATTATGTTTGAGCATTGCCCTGCACTTTTAGAATCAATGGAATTTCAGAATTTTCAAACATGTTGGGCATTGAAGCATATACACCTTTGTTAGAGTATATGTCAAGGAAATCTCAAATATGAAGTTTGTCCCTGTCCAGAATCCATAATTTTTCCAGTCAATACTTTACAAGTTTATAAGACAAAATGAAAATTCACTTCGAAAAACCTTTCACTTAGCAATCGGCTTTGGTTTTAGATTTTTTTCAATCTTATAACTGGATAGTACTTTCACAGATGAGTGTAACACATGTATAATTGATAATAAAATCTAATCAGTTGCTTATCGGTTAAACAAAGCTTTCTAAATTTTGAAAAGGTTAACTTTTCTAGAAAACTTTTTGAAGATAGTTCTTTAGATTTCATCCTATTCAGATGAAGTCGATATAATTGTGGTACACTTTCGAAAGCATTACCTGAATAGCTTCAATAGAAGATTCAAGCTCTGAAAAATCCATATTCTTCGTTATGTTCTATTACTTTAGATTCCATAAAACTTATGTATTGTAATGAAAATACTGGATCGAATAAATGAAGAATAATGTTTTTTTCTTTCAGAATACCATTCTGATGTATCTGTTTCAATTATTAATATTATAATTTAACAAAGAACAAGATGGAATAAAAATCAAGTCAAATATTTTTTAAATCGTTAATTACGACACTTTTTTCAATATTTACATGTGGATAGTGAAATAGTAATCATGTGCATGGATTTTTTTTTTCTTTCTTTCTGTTTCATCAGCAATATATAAAAGAAAAAAAAGAAATATCTGATGACGCTGAATGTTATTGCATAATTTTTCAAAGAAAATTATGAAATTTTTTTTCTTTATATAATGTTTGTGACGAGAAAAAAACATGACTCAATATTACCGAGAAATCATCATGTAAAAGCATATTGTTCGTGTTGCAAATACTCATACATTCATTTCTTGAACACACGTTTTCTTGCGACTGTCGTCAATAATAAGAAGCGGAGAAAAAAAGAATCAAAGGCAAACATAAATACAGCAACAATAACAAAAATATAAAGTAAGGGTTGCTATAGTTTATTTCTGAAAATAAATGATTATTTTTTCCAATTTTAGCGAAGTTTAAATTCATGAAAAGAATATTGATAAGATTATTTTTTGGAATTAAGCTAAAAAGAAAGTTAAAACTACCTAAGCATTAAAATAGAAAACTAAATTTTTATTTTCATATAAAATAAATATTTATCATATTTTTCTTTTTCTTTTTCTTTGGTCAATGACTCGTATGATAGTATGGATTTTTCATTGATGACGATGCTTTCATGAGTCATGTATTACAATTGACGCACACACTAAGATAAAATGTATCGCATATGTCATGATATGTGACGCATTTTTTCCAGCAAGAGCACGACACATTTTGTATGACACATGCGACACAATCTGAAAGCGTGATTCGAATCTATCATTCGGCGCATTTTTCATTTTTTTTTTTTGTAAAAGTGTGTCATGACATTTTTTTTCCATTTGATTCCATTTAATTATTCCGATTCTGACAACTCAAACAGGCCATATATTAGGATCTGTCTAGCCTTGAGTTAGTTCGATCTTCATCAGACCGCTTCAGAGTAGTTCTCTCTCAATCATCAATCAAGATCGGCAGGTTCTCGACTAATAAACAATCGAGAAATAGTCCCCGGGCGAGCAAAGGGCGGGTAAAAAGACTAGTCTCATATCTAGTCCTGATGGCACGTCCGGTATAGTCTTTTTCTCAAAACGGACTACTACATGAATGATCCGAGATCGCTTGGATTCTTTAGCCCCCGTTGGAGTATCCGTCCAAAATAGAATTTAAATTAAAAAAGAAAGAGCGTCCGTGACGCGACATTTATCAGGATCTAGTTCTATGTAGTGGTCTAGTCCGAACTAGTCTAAATGACAGAAATATTTGCAGAAAGTTAGATTCGAACATGCATATCACATGTTACTTATCCATCGTTTATCCAATTGAACCATATGTTCTAGTGATCAACTTTTACATGTCAATATCCTAATTTACAATATTTCCGATTTAAATTTGAAAATAAACTATGATTCTATGGTTTAAATTTCTCTTTAACTTCAAATCATCAGATTTTATATTAAAATAAAACAATATTCTCATAGAAAAATTCTAAAATTAATTTTTCTAATAAAATTATTCTTAGTTATTATTACGATCTAAAAACTTAAGGGACACAAATAGACAACTTTCGTTAGATACATTGTTCTATTCTCGATATGAACAAGTCTAAACGAGTTGTTTGGATAATTAAGTTCAAGCAAAAGAGATTGTTTAAAAAGTCTAGACTAGGCTGAATCAGAACTGGCACTAGTTTCTTTAAAAAAAGCAAGTCATGACCAGTATAGATGACTCTTCATACTAGTTCGCATTACTATTGAAAACAGTCTAGACTAGTCAGATATCCAATATTATCGGATTGAATGTTCGAATCCACCTATTGTCTCCTTTTCTTCTGACTTTTGTCGTTACGCTGACGCGTCTGGACAGTATGAACATACACAATGGACTAGTCATGACAGAGTGAGAGCATGTTTCGGACTAGTCTATATTAGGTTGCAAGGCATTGCTCGTCAAGACAATTAGTCTGGACGGACTGCAAATCATCTCAGACTAGAGCAGACAGTAGCGCGAACATTTTAGACTAGACCAGACGGTAGTGTAAACATTTTAGACTAATCATGTCGGGCGTCCTCCCTTATTTTTTGCTTGTCTAGATAGAAAAATATTATTTTAAAAGTGTAAATTTCTTATATTCAATCATGTTGTTCATATATATAACTGTATGTAAATAACAAAATGATAAATGGATAGTCAGCAGGCAGAACGAGAGAAATTTGTATACGACACATCCTGATCACGACACATTATTACGCTGAAGTTTACGACACAATAATTCATGATACATACGTGTGATACATTTTATGTTAGTGTGTTCTCAAGTCAACATTTTTAGTTGGCTTCTTTTATGATTGTAATGTTGAAATCCAACTTGAGTATTACAGTAATTAAATGATGATATATAAGGTAATAAATAAGGGGTGGAGTCCAACGCGTAGTCAAAATGATAAGAGGAAAAAAAAAGTAGAAAGAAAAGAAAAATCCAAGATGCTAAACTCACCTGAGAAAAGAAAGAGGCTATAAGTACATACATGTGCTTATATCAGTTGATAGTAAATATAAACAATAATTGAGTTCCTTGCTTTTGAAAATTATTTTAAAAACTCTAGAATTTTGGTTTTTTAGTTGACAGATTCATAACATTTTTTCATTTTTTCCCTCTTGAGTCTGTTTTGACGCATTCTATGTACTATTTAATAAAACATCTAAATATAATCTTTCAATGCAATCTCAGTCATTAAATTGTATAGAATTAGATCAGTCTATAATATAATTGTTCGCTTCGCTACAATAAGCAGTTAACGGTATATGTATAGTGAGCATCTATCCGCAGTAGTGTTAAATATTGAGAAGATTGAGTAAAGAGGAGATATCACGAAAGATGAAACATATACAAAAGAATATTTTTAAAAAAATGTATTTTTATGTGTTTTTCATTTCATATGGCAACCTATGTATATTTAATTTTCTGAATATGTGTTACACAACTCTTTGTCATAGATTATAATACAATTGGTTCAAAAGAACTCATTTCATTCTGTCGCTTACGTGTCCTATTTCTTTAGAAACATTATTTATGCAATTTTGAATAATCTTAAACTTGATACGAATCGATATTATTTGTTTGAAAAATCTAATTTTTTTTCTTTTATTTTAGATTTCTAATGGCTCGATTCGAAAAAGATTTTCGTCAATTATGTCGTCAAATTGATTCATTATCCGCTGGTCAAGCTCGTGCTAGTTGTGATAATATATTTAATCGTTCAAATTCTCTATCTCGTGCTTCCTTTTTATCTGATTCTTCTTCGTCAGATTCCGATGAATCAAATTCTAGTCAAGCATTTTATATTGAAATAACACCACGTGATGGTCCATATGCACATGGTTCATTTGTTTTTCGTATTGAAGCTTCTAGCGAAAGTGATTATCCTGATTGTCAACCAATTGTTTCCTGTTTAACACGTATATATCATCCAAATATCGATACAACATATCAAAATTGTTATAATAATGTATGTGTTTCAACATTGAATGATTGGGATGGTGGAGCTAATTCAACATTTGAAGATCTTTTACAAGGTCTTATGTTTCTTTTTCATTCACCTAATGTTGATGATCCATTAACATCAAATGTTTCAACAGATGAAAAAGAATTTTTAACTAACATTCGTATAGCTATCGAAGGTGGTACAATTGAAGATTATGATAATGATCCATTTGAAATGAATTATGGTTATAAACAATATTTAGTAGAAAAAGAAAAACAACAAATAAAAGAAGGAGAACAAATCGATGACAATTTAGTTAATATTCTAACACGAGAACCAAATTTTAAACAATTATTTAACGCTGATACATTGGAATTTCTTATGAATAATACATCAGAATCATCACTTTCTCATTCTACAAGACATAATAAAGAAGCATCAATTAATTCATAGAAAAATATGAAAAACTCGATTTTTATTTCTATTTAATGTATATTTAGCTCATTTTTTAAAAAAAAGAGCAAAAAAATTGAGGCAATTTTTTTTTATTTCGCTTATGAACAATAGATTATTGAGTCTATGAAAGGTACTCGCGAACAATTGCTCGCTAAGAGACTTGATCAGTAGGGTATGGGTGTTGGATGTCAGATATAGATGTGGATGAAGAGAAGAACCACATCCATGAGCGAATGTCCTAGTGAGCAACTGTTCGGCTCCCAGACTATTGTACTTTTTCAAAAGAGAGAAGAGAATAGTTTCTGGCAACTACTCATCCTTACAGACAAGTTCCTTCCATTTATCAGATATTTAGTTAGTACTGTTTGAAACGAAAAACAAAACAATATTATAATGAAGGGTATATTTTGAAATGTTTATTCGATCGAAATAACTGGCAAAGAGTTTCGAAATCCAATTTAATAATATCAATACTCGTAGAAATCTAAAAGCAAATTGGTATACAATACACTATTTATTCACAGAAAAATGATATAGAGAGAGTCTGTCTTTCTTTTTAAGTTATGTAGTTGACTTATTCTTATTCGATAATATATTAATAAATGAATTATATAAGGCAGCAAAACAAAAACGAATAAAAAAAATCTTAAAGAATTAATGTTAGAAAAAATTGTTCAGATAAAATCAAGTTTAGTTATCGATTAGTAGAATTTGGTTTTCTCTCAGCATCTGTTGTAATTGCGTAGTGGTCGATGGAGAAAATCTCAGAAAATAAAATAGCAACAAACAATGATGACATTCGTCTTGTACAATATGTAAGTCTTTCGAATAGATCTTCAATATTCTACATTACCATATACGATAGTTCTTGAAATTGATACTATAATGAAGACGATCGTATTAAACAATATATGATGAAAAACAGCTATGTTTTGCCGATGATGTTCTTGATATAATCCTATCATTGTTGGCTGGGATAGTTTCCAAATAATTTAAATTTAAAATATACAAATGATACAGATATCATAATATTTAAATACATTATTGTATAAAAAGCTTTTAATAATATATCGCAATAGAGTGTGGATGGGTGTGGGTGTGAACCTTCTCTTTGGTAGCATACACACCCACACCCACACCCACCTCTAGTTTGAAATGTGTTATTTATCTTCTTATTTTCAATAAAATAAGAAAGCACAACGAACGGCGCTAGGATGCACAGTATATAATTCTGTTCACTGATTGATCAGGTTCCAATAACTAAAAACAACCGGCAGCATTGCTACAACAATGATACTGATATGTCTATGTCATAGATCTCGTACATGTGTGAGTAGTGTGTTGTATCGGCATGGGTATAAAATTGAACTTTGAATATATTGATAATTATATTAAGACACTCTAATAATGTCATTTATTTTGATCAAGAATATATCTATAGTAGGCAGAAAGTAATAATAAAGCAATGATTGAGTAGTGCACATTTCCTCTTTGTATATTACTCATGACATGCTCCATTGTATCATATGCATAGAGACCATAACTGATATAATGAGAATAATGATTTACCTTTTTTCTTTGCTTTACATTCGTAATAGTTAAACAAAAAATGAATAATCAAGAAAAAAAAAGAGTCGAAACTTCTGAACAATTTTCATTTAAATGAAGGTGATTTTACCAATGAAGTCAAATATAAATTTCCATTTCATATAGAAATTCTCAATAGTTTCAATTTCTGTGTTATATCTCAACTAAGACATATACTCTGTTCGAACTTCATTCAGAAACATGAAAATTTTAAATTTGTACTTAATTACTTGGTCTCATCATCAGTACAATCAAAGCACATAACGTTGTCTAATGTTCTAATGATTATTATTTGTGATATGTCACGCACCAATACAACATTATTACATAATCTAACGATTTGTTATCCAACTTGTCGTGCTCCTTCAATAATTGCCATGATCATACATCCAATTTCACCTCTTTTATGTTCAAATATCATTGAATATAAATGATGAATGGACGAAGAAATATATTTTCAAGGGTAAATGTTTGTGATTGAAAGGTTAGATTATGGATCAATTTGCAAAAAATATCGATCTTCATTACGTGCAAAATTTGAGTAAGAAGGAGATAGTGCTCTACAAAATGAAGTTGATGTACAATGTCTATTTGCTATTCTCGCTTCGAAAACATAAAAATTTTCTGACATAATTTGTTGATAATAAGAACAAAGATTTTGCCAATGAATATCATTAGACTGTATTGTAAATGTTACATGATATCGATTCAAATCAAACACATTTACAACTAAAATCTCCATTGTATAATTTATAGATAGACACATTTCTTAAATATTATCTACAAGTATCGATTATTACGTCTCATTATCATCTTGATGAAGTGATACTATCAACATATATCTATTTTCTTCTCTATAATAGTATTTATTTCACTGAAAACGATTAATACAGTTTGAAAATAATGATTGGACAAACAGTGATTATTCTTGATATTTGGATACAAAGAATTATAGAATTTCACATTCAACAATCATCATCACAAAAATATTTTTGATATTGATTATAAAGATTTGATGAAAAATCCTATTGGTACTATACGTTCTATCTATAATCATTTTGATTTTTTTTTACAATGGTCTGATGAATTCGAAGAAGCAATGCGTACGTAGTGTATCAATAATTCTCAAAAAAAAACAAGGCCGTCATTCGTATTCACCGGATCAATTTGGCCTTCGTAAAAGCAATACAAAAGAGTTATATAAGAATTATGGAGAAATGCTTCTTGGAGATCGAATGAGTAGTGTTCAATTTTCTTCAATCAATTAAAATAACAATTATTTAAACAATATGTCGGTCCTTATTTTATCATTTTAATTATCAATTATTCAATAAATACAATATTTAAGTAATTTCTCGATGTTACACATTAAGTAATTTGTTTTGAGATGTTCTAACATCTGCTTGCAAGTTTTGGGAAATATCGGATTTTGTATAGGATTCAATTTTTTTTCAAAATATAGGATTTTTTCACGTATTGATGTCAATGAAGTCTTCAATTCAAATGACTTTGTCACACGATACTAGTTCTCTGCAGTGACAACTACAACAGAGTACAACTGGCAGACGCTTGAATAGATTGATCATTGTCATTGCTCATACCAAAATGAATAGTTGTTCGAGATAATAACATCCAGAGAAATGATAAAAATGCTTCTATTCAAGTGTCAGTGAATCAATGAGGGACTGTTTATAATCACCAATAAAACACAGAACATACACAACGTTTTATTATGATTTCATTGCCAAACTTGAATATCACAGTCAAGATCAATGAATCTGCGGCATAAAATAGATAAAAGTTTTAAGTGTATGTCTTTGTTTAAACCATGTAATTACCAATTCTATATTAGAATCAACTATAAAAAAAATACGTTACGTTAATTCTTCTAACTTTTGACATAATTTTAGAGAAGGAAATAAGATCATTCATCGACACTTTGTCACATTTTATCTTTAATAGTTCAGCTTTCGAGTTCAAATAAAAGGATTGTATAATTTTTTTTCATAGAATGGTTTCTGAATGCAATATATAGCTTTTGTTATTAGATATCCATACATTTATGCAAGGCAACAATTATAAGATTTGAAATAATAAAGTACAGAATCTTCGTATTGGGTATTCTGCCTAGATTGTATCATTACATGGATATTGACCAAATACTCAGTCGGATACTTGTCCAGATTCTATAGCATTATAGGAAAAATTTTTCAACAAATTAACCGATTGAACACTGAGAAGCATTCTGAAGTGAAATACTAAAAAACTCAAAAGTTCCTATTACATATTGATAGTAAGATACCTCTTTCGGTACCTTGAACCCAATATATTTACTAAAAAGTAATCTAAATAGTATCTATAGCTTCAATCATTTTACTAGTATTTCATCAGTGCAGTGAACTAACACGGAATAACAACTATTTGAAACAAATACTACTATCATACATACAACATTTCAAAGTTTAACGAATTCTTTTTTTACAGATTTTGATCACAGAGTAGAAATTATATAGAATAGAATTCACAAATCCGTGTACAATGTTTTGCTTTTGGAGAAAAATATAGGTAACACAGAAGAAAACCACTTTAACGACTTATTATATAGTGACATCTGGCTAAAACTCCCGCATTAAACTGAATCTTTTTTTTTCTATCTAATTATATTTATTCGACTAAAATGATCGTTCCAATATAGTATAACAATCTATTGGAAAAAATAAGTTAAAGATCATTATTTACATGTCTATGAACGGTAAAATATAATTCACGAATCTGAATTTCTCTCGTAATGATTCATATTTGTTTCGGAAGAGCATTGATTTACAACAAAAATAAAAGACAACAGTTTGTTTTTTTGCTGAAAAGTTGACATTTAATTAAAATAAAAGAATATTGGTTGATTTTTCTTTTTAATTTTTTCATAATTCATTGACAATTAATTCTTATCAATCTAACCGTTGGCTAAAATATTTCATACTTTGACTAAACAACCGTAATGATATATCGATTGATATTCAAACATTCAAACAGTTCTCGTCATCAATCTCAATCTAATTTGTCGACATGCATCGTTATAAAACCGAGATATTTTCATATTAAATATTTATAATTCAGGTCGACGAATATAGAATCCATATACGGTCGTTTACGACCGTGTTTGTTTGACCCGGGAAATAGTTCATTGCTTTCGTGCGTGATTTGGCTCACGTTTGCATTGATATAGTAAGTTCGTCAGAAATACATAATAGACTTGGCATGCATAAATCGTCAACATCGTTTTGAAAACGATATTGCTTAGACTAACTTTGTCTATGAAACTTTGAACACAATGGTTTTATAGCGGAAACATTTCGCTTTATTGTGGAGAATTGCAAAAATGTTCATTTTGCAATATTCAATATGAATATGTTTGATTTATTTGGAACTGTTCTATTTATCTCAATGGAATGATCAATATTATGTATCTAAGTCGTTATTCTATTCCAGATATGATTACTTGTTTCGAGCATCTTTCCAATGAGCTATTGCTTGATATTTTCAATTATATGGATCCTTGACATTTATATTATACTTTTTGGAATATCAATTCGCGTTTAAATCATCTTATTATCTCAGTCAATAGTCTTCAATTTATTATTGATGAAGAAGAGAACAAAGAATTAATCACTACATTAGCTCCTCATATTGGTCTTTTACAAGTGAACACATAGGATGAAATTGATTTGCGTGAATTTTGTAACTTATATTCATTAATATTGGCTCGACCATCGTCAATCCAACTAAAACAAATTCGAGCTGATACAATGCCAAATTTAATCTATCTTTTGCTATATTCAAATGTGATTTTCTTTTCACCTAAACAACTTATTTATGATGTATTTTCAAATAGATTTTCTCATCTTCGTTCGGCTCGATTAGGCTATATTGATTCTTTCGATTCTCTGCACTGGTCTCAATCATTGTCACTTCGATATCTTCATATTAGATGTTACCATACAACTATAATCCCATTTGTCCTCGCGTCATGTCCCAATCTTAAACAACTTCATGTCGATTTTTTGCTACATGACGACAAAATCATGGATTCATCAGTAAGGATTAATAATCATTCTCTTCAAAAATTCATTCTACGGGATTATTGTCGTTTGGTATCGGTTCAAGATATCAAAACTCTAATTACTTATATTCCAAATACAAGCAAAATCGAATTGAAATTCTATTGTAATGTTCCATTTATTTCTCTAATTCAATATCTTTCAAATAGTCTTAGTCATTTACGTCGATTTGATTGTTATATAACAGAATGTCCAATTGATTCTGCAACAAGTTTGACAAATATTCAACAAGTTCATCCATGTTTCAATCGTATTACATGTCCAATACAAGAAACAAATTTTCGAATATTCGACACACAATAATAAGCTGAATACTTATTTAATAATCATGACATTACCATAAAGAGATTTTCATATTTTTTTTAATCAAGAAAATCTCTCCCTGTTATCTAATAATAAGATCTATTTATTCTAGAAATGAATCATTTTTAAGCTTAATTTACTATACGTTTTTGTTATTGAATATTTACTTTTTTTGTAATTGAAGTTGAAATATTTCAGAAGTTATTGAAAGCTCACCGGAATTTAGAGCACATCGGCTTGATTCCGGACTAGTGTCTTGCAATCGGTTCGGGTATCCGACACTCGACTCGTAAATGAAAGGATGACCAAGAGATATGTTCCAAAATAGATAGAATAAAACAATCTCTCTGTGATTAGCAACTGCAACTATATCGTGTTTCGCATTTTGATTGTACAGGAATTGTGTTAATAGGTATTAACATAAGTAGCTGTTGTTCGAGTTTTTATTTGTAAAGAAACATCTTTCACAGTATTCTATGGTTCAATATCCATGGCAAGCTTTAGTCATTCTCAAATACATACTCTTTATGGCAATAATGAAAACTATCATCAACATGATGATAGACCAAATCTATTACAAAAAAAACAAAACAAATATAATTCTTTTATTTCACGAGTACAAATTACGTATTGTGTTGATTAATTATTGAAATGAGTACATTATTTCTTGATTAAATCATTCTATAAAAAAGAAAATAATATAGTGCTATTTTTACTTGATCAATGTGTATTGAATATTTTAGATATTTCAGAAAAAGAGAAAAAAATAAATATACTTTGATAAATACATCAAACTACATGTGCCTTATTTTCACATAAAAAAAGTACGAACAAATATGTGAAAAGCATACTCGAACAGAAGCTAGTTATAAAGTGCAAAAATAAATCTATTATACTATAATCTGTTACTAAGATTGACTAGATGATAGGAAAACGTAGTTTTCAGTTATAGAAAAGAATTATCGTATTTTTGAATCATTTTCAACACACATATTTATTTTACTATATTGAATATACATGTAATCTGTTCCATAGATTAATTATTATTTACGCACTATGTTAGTGAAGAAATATTTCCACTTATTCTGTTCATGAAGTTTAAAAGCAAATCTGATGAATGAAAAAAAAATGAGCAATTCATTCTACATAACTCTGATTTACACAAAACTTGATTAAAATATAATCACAATGATGAATGTCGGCTTCTTCTACGTGCTATGATATTATAAGTACATATAGTGATATAACACTTAATCATTGCACTTATAGAACACAAAAAAGAAAAAGAAACGAAAATGTCGGAAGTAGTTAAGTTTGCTTCGTTTTTCTTTTTTCTCTCATGTGACAAGCAAGAGATACGTGAGAATGGCTAAAGAAAAAAACAAGAAAGAAAAAAAACAAGAAAGAAAAAAAAGCTTATATAATGTGTATGATGTGCATTTTTGTTAGTTGCAAAACATTCTTAACAATCTGTTTATTTCTAACGAACACAAAACAACAAGAAAATATGACAGCAGCAACTAAAGCCGGTTTGGAACTAGCTACTTTTGGTGCTGGTTGTTTTTGGGGTACAGAGAAATATTTTCGCAAGCAATTCGGTGCTAATTTAAAATCATTCGCTGCTGGTTACATGGGTGGTGCTTCAAAAGCTACCTACAAAGATGTTTGTACTGGTATGACCAATCATGCTGAAGTATTACAAGTATCTTACGAGCCAAACCAATTGGCATATGGTGACTTAGTTCGATTTTTCTTTCGTATGCATGATCCTACGACCTTGAATCGACAAGGAAATGATCAAGGCACTCAATATCGTTCTGTTATCTTCACTCATACCAAAGAACAACAGAGAATTGCAGAACAAATACGTGATGAAGTACAAGCTAGTGGTAAAATCAAGGGAAAGATTGTTACTCAAATACAATCAGCCGATAGTCTACAGTTTTTTATGGCCGAGCCCTATCATCAACGATATCTAGAAAATCATCCCGATGGTTACTGCAATCATAAACTGTACTATTAATATTGTAGTTACATAAACTGTCTATCTTAAAGATTATAATAATTTTATATGAATAAAGAATAACTTCACAGTAAATATATTTTTAACTTACGTCTTTCCTCTTCAAAAAAAAAACAATTTTCGTGAAAAACATGAAGATTGAGATAAATGCATGGGAAGTTAACTCAAGATCCGATCTTTCATACATGACATAGTTTTTTATTTGGTATCTCGTTTTTTTCAAAAATTCCCATCATTTTCTGCATGGAAAATCTTTTTTGCTTTTTCTCTGTTTGTTTTTTTTTGATTATGTATCTCCAAGCTCGGGAAGGAGCTTCATTGTAGTCCATGACTTTTTTTGTTTGAAAGAGCATGCCAAGATGCAGGGCATGGCAGAATCCCTCTTTTGGAACTAAGCTTTGTTACTATTATATAAAAAAGTACTTTTATAATAAGAGCTCTATTTTTTGAGTTTTTCAAGATATTGAACTTTTCATCTCTATTTTCCTTTTAAAAAGTAAGCATTCAAAAAAGCGAACCCTGTCATACCCTGCATTCTAACACGCTCTTTCAAAGAAATAATTAAATCTATAGAATGAAGGCCCACAAAGAATTATGGGTTGCCAAATGAGCTATTTTTGAACCTTATTAGTCGAATATCTCTCGAAAACATCATGGTATACGAATGAATATTTCATGCGATTTGAATGTTCCTGAGCCAAGATCGATTTTTGAGGGCATTTAAGTAGTCCCACAAATTATTATTGGTGTCCTATCAGATTTTCCAAACTGTTGACAACGGGTTTACTCGAATGACAAAGTCACAACATACATCAATGTTGTTGACCATTAATAAATAAGTTTTTTGTCTTTTCTCCATTCTCTTCAAGAAGATCTATTATATTTCTAAACAAATCTATAATGAAATGTAACATATGCATGTCAACAACTATAACTTAGAAAAAACAGTGAAAGTGTAAAATTAAAAGCATCAAATTCGATCCATATATAAATAAATGATTAATCAAAATGATATGACTTATTCAATTGATTTCTTGGATTAAAGGCTAATTTAAAACCAATATATATATTTCTTTTTCATTTTCATTCGTAGACAGTGAATTATAATAGAACAATGAACTTGATAAATAATTAAAATCATTGATTTAAACCAATGATATTTATGATTAAATTTCGACATTTTAAATCGAAATGTTGAATAAATGGGAAAACACATGGATATTATACAACAATCGAATTCTTATTCTTATTCGATTCTTCATTAATTATAAATGTTTGTATCTATTTCCTCCATCGATCTTAGATATATTTAAACGATTTGATGAAATTGTTTTAGAAGAATAGATGTTGAAGAGATGATGCTATTGGGAGTATTGATCGCACTATTCGAATCGATATGGATGGCACTCGAAAAACAGCAAGTTAATGAATTATTTAAAATTCGAACATGATCGAAACGTTTTCTTCAATAAATGGAAGATCCCATACAACCAGAATTCTTCAATATGATCGTAAAAAATATTTTTATATGATGTTATCGAAAATGAAAGATGATCCGAAAGAGATTTCAGCTTCTCGATGACAGAACAATTTCACTGATCGAATTTGTTTTTTTTTTGACTAAGGTGTGGGTGTCGGTGTCTATCTTCTTTCATTAACACCCATATCCATCCTCATTTTATAACTTCTCTACGTTCTTTTCCAAAACCATTTCCCCGAAGCATTATACAAAAGATTCTCATTTATGTCTGTATTCTCTCGGAAGAAAACGTCGGTGTGAGACTGAGAGTGTAGATATTCGTTTGTTTTCATCAAAATCCAGCCATTCACGCACACCAACACACTATCCTGCTAGGTGTATGAATTTCCCACGACATAATTTTGTTGCCTTAGAAATGAAATTTTATATTGTAGAAAATAGTGATATTGTTTCCGATGGAATCTAAAAACTGTTGAACGTTATCAGCAACAAAGCTTTAGATGTCTATCGTTCTCAAACACGTGTTTGGACCAAGGTTCAGATTTACTTCGACAACAACACAGGCGCTCATCGCTGGATCATCTCTGTGAATAAAGACAGTAGCGTCAAACTGATTAATGTGAACAGTGGCAAAGCATTTGATGTGGCATGGACTCGCGCTTCCGATGATACCAATGTCCAGATCCATAGAGACAATGGAACCAATGCACAAAAGTAGTTTTTAAATCCAATAGAAGATGGAATATATACGGTGACTAATGCGATCAGTTGCAAGGCATCGGATGTCAAACATTACGAAACAGACGATAGCACGAACATCCAAATTTGGAAACCAAATAATACGTCGACTCAAAAATGGGTGTGGGTGCGGGTGCACTTAAGACTAACAACCACATCCCTACCGGCACTGACACCGACACCAACACCCATACCACACTCCACATCCCACACCCTTCTATCTCCAAAAGCCCAATTTCTGCCGTGACACGTTTGATGCTGTTGCTCGCCACGTCATATTTCCCTTCTAAAGTCTAATTCTCGAAGTTATACTTTTGATACTTTTGTTCACCACCTCATATGCGACTTCGCAACGTCCAATTTTCCAGGTGATACTTTTGAGGCTTTTGTTCAGTGAATAGTTTTTACCTACAAACAAGTCTAATTCAAAAAGATGTGGATGTGGGTGTGAGTATTCCTTCATTTCTACCCACACGGATCCACATCCTCATGCACTCCCATACAACCCTACAGAAACCCTATGGGAATCTGGTCTCCGGAATTGGTACGAGATCCGATAGTCGAATATCATCGGATATTCATGGGAATCTGATCGTCAGATTTCGATTGTTGGATACTATCGGATATGCATTGGAATCTGACGGTCGGCATCGATGGTCGATTTGTTCTCAGCTCAAACAATCAGATGCTAAGATCTGGCAAGATTCTGTATCTGATCTTTTATGATCTTGCAAAATGAGATAAAAAAGCATATGAAAAATTTTAGCCCCAGAAATCTTACATTAGGTCGTAGTTTACGATTATTGAAAGATCTCACTGTCTTGTAAGATATTACTATGAGATTAGTGAAAATTTTATGTGACGCTAAGACCTCTCAAGAATCTTGTAGTACGATCTCGTAAGATTTCTGAGACTACATTTTTCTATAGGATTTGCGTACGATTTCGTCTAGTTCTTAAGATTTTACATCTGATTTTTTGACTTGGGTTGCCAGGAATCCTATAGAGTTTCATCGGCTAGTCGGATCCGATGAGTTTCGGTGTTGGATTCATTTGCCTGGATTTGCAAGATCCAATTTTCCAGGTGATACTTTTGCTCACTGCCCCATATTGCACTTCCCAAACTCTAAGTTTCAAGGCGATACTTTTGATGACTTGCTCACCGCTCCATATTTCGCTTCCCAAAGTCGAAGCTTCAGGATGATAGTTTTTAATGCTTTTGCTCAGTGAGGGATCTTTACTTCCGAAAAAGCCAAATTTAGAAGGTCTAATTTTGATGCTTGTCAGTCATTTTTGGGTTTTTGCGTCCGTAACACCGTAGTGTTGTAGCCAGAGTTTTGATATCTGCTATTGGTGTGAGTATTTCTTTATCTCCACTCATACAGACCCCACACTGTCTCAAGTCCTTACTATTCAAATAGTTTTTTGAGAAACTGTTTTATAATTATTGTAAAAGCCATTTTAACTAATTTTTGTTAGCTTTGTTTTTTTTTAGTTTTTAGAAAAAAATTAACTTATATTTGCAAAAAAATTATGAAAGCTTGTGTTCTTTTGGCTATTCTTTTTATTCCGAATATTGTAGCAGATTGTCCAGACCCGGAATTTAGATGTATTGATTATTCCGGCGGGAAAACAGGTAACAATGAACGAGTTTGGGGTCCAATATGTACAGGCACCTGTTGGATATAGTATTTATTTAGCGGTGTGCCTTGTAGAGATAAATCTTGTTATTTGGGTCTTTGTCAACAATCGTTTTCAAGAACAACTGATATAGAACATGTGCGAAGTGCCGTTTATGATTGGAATTGGTATTTACTTGAATACAATGGCTATATACATAAACCAATTGTGTGTTCGAATAAATAAACACCATGGGATGGGGAACTATATTTAATAAATAAATACAACAAGCAATATAGCACTCATATTTAAGACATAACAAGAAGTGCGCGCGAGGATGCTATGAAATCTCTTATACCTCGAATACCTGTTAGACCTATTATACCTGTTATGCCTTTTGGACCTATCATATATACTTCTTAGACCTATGATACCTATTGCGCTTAATAGATGTATGTCCCTCTCCTTTGATCCGTCTGTATTCAAATTTCATATGTAGAAAACAAATTTGATTCCATATACTCTAATAAATATATCCTAAAACATAATATACTTCGGAGAATCTTTTTCGTGTTTTGGTGAAAAATTAGCATTTTGAACAAGGTTGTCATAATAAAATTTTAATCAAGGAAAGTAAATAAAGGTGAGGGGTGCAGGTGCGTGTGGGTGTGAATGTGAGTGATCAGAAAACCAACATCCTCACTCACACACGCATCCATACCCACACCCAACTGTAGTTATTTTCTAAAGGTTATAGATCTCCAGAGAAGCGTCTATCTTATTTACTTCTACATTTCGAACATAGATTTCTTTTTTCTTTTTCTATTGATGCTCCATTTTTTTGTTTGTCCTGTTGCTATTCTTTCGTTGCTTTTCAATTTCGTATTCCGTTTTTCTTAATTAAACATTACTGCTATTCTAACCATTGATTTAATTAGCAAGTAAGCCTGTTGTACATATCCATCATATCTATAGCAGGTCTCGAACGGAAGTTGTGATGAGCGCCCATGGGCCGAACCTTGAACAAAATATAAAATTTTCAAAAGGTGTCGCATATTTCTACTAAACTTTTCTCGAAAATCTCACGTAATTCTTCCATTGGCTAAAACATTTCTGCAATAAACAGCGAATATACTAAGCAAAATAATGAAAACAAAAAGATACAATTGTTGTCACCTGGAAAAAACTTTCTTTATATTCAATAAACTGTCCTTGCCTAGTTCTCCTTGTTCATCAACAATTATAAAATCATCAACTACTTTTTTCTAATTCTAATTCTATTCATACTGAACCTTCTCAGTCATCAGTTTTTGTTAACACCTTTTCTTCAACCGATATATGCTGTTATTAAAAATTGAAAAAGAAAACACATTTTTATGTTGAAAAATTTTTGATTTTCCAACTAGAACATCAGAAAATACTGGTGAAGTCGAGAGAATTGAAGGTTTTTCAAGTTGTCAAACATGTGACAGAATATTTGTTTATACATCAACTATATTGCTACTCGAAATATGCTTGCTCATTCATGTATTAAAAATTTATTCGATAGAATTAGATGAATAGCTCATGGATGGTCCATTTTTTAAGAAAAAGACCATGGACTAGATCGGATCAAAAGTCAATAAGACATCGGTCGGCTTTCTTCGACCCATTGAGACCTTTGGCCTCAACATACTATTATAAATCTCGATATGCTCAGAAACACTGATGTTGGTTATTTTTCAAAGTTATAACTTGATCAGTTCACCCTATTCATGTTGATCATATGACACCTGCCGTAAGTCAATGTATCACTACCCATCATCTTTGATATCTTGAATATAAATTTTTAACTACCAAAAAACAAAATCAAAAACTGTACTATTTAGAACATTGACAAATGTACTGCAGTCATTCGAATTGCCAGGAAAGCTTTGGAATGTTCTATAATAGTCTAAGTCTTGTTGTTAATGTCGTTCAGCGTCTTTTTTCTGTTGCTAAGGAATTCTAGGAAAGGAGTCTGACATCTGTTGTCCAAGACTGATGGAAAACGCACTCAAAGATCGTTGGCCTTCTCCTCTCTGTTGCTATTAAGGAAAAAACAACAAAGCCTCGACTTAAAGCTTACATTCAGTTTATTTTTCTTCGTAAAGCCTAATGTAAGTTCCACAAAATCTGGCAATTTGTTTATTTTGGGACGGTTGTATTCCGGATTACTTGTTTTCAGCAATGGAAAGGATTATGTGTAAATTAATTATTTCTAACTCGACAATTCTATTGACAGAGAGAAGACAAAATTATTTTATAATTTTGTCATCTTATAAATTATTTACTTTACAAAAGTAATCTGGAATAATACAAAAACAAAATCATATTTTAATTTAAAACATTCAAAACAAAGCTTTTGTAAAGAATTTCATTGGTTGTTTTCAATATGTTGTCATGATCCTATTCTTATTTTATTTTCTTCTCAACACGACATGAGGACAAATATTGTCTAAAAAACTTCTTCTTTCGTTCTTTCTTCAACAGACATAGTTAAATAGACTGAGTTTTTTTTTCTTCTCGTTCTCTTTTGCAAACGCAATAGTCATACAAGAAAAAAATGTTGTCTCACATATTATGTGAAAGAGCAGACACTCTCACCTTGAGTTTTTTTCTTGTACGGAATTTCTTTGAAATAAATCAAGGAAGAAAACAAAACGTGAACACATTTTTAAACAATTACTCTAATGGCTGCAGCTCCACTGAAAACAATAGAAAATGATGAAAATCTCGAAACATATTGTTTGATTTGGCTTGATGCCTCTGTGAATACTGCAAAGGAAAATCGTCAAATTCAACAACAATTACAAGCAATAATCAATCATTTATTAACGTTTGAAGATGATCAACAATGTCTTCATTATATTAAAAATCTTTCTGAAAACGATCGAACTATTTTAATTGTTAGTGGAAGATTTGGTCGAATTATTGTACCTCAAATTGTTCATCTACGACAGATCACGTCAATCTATGTTTATTGTTTTGATAAAAAAGCTAATGAACTATGGTCACAGCAATTTCCTAAAGTGAAATATTTTGTTTTTCCTTTAAAATTTATTTATTTTTAAATTATGTATTTAGGTTAAAGGTGTATTAATTCGATTGAATGAACTTATTGAACAAATTGAAAAAGATTATATTCAACAACAACATGATAAAATTGATGAACCATTATCAATAAAAATTTTTGATGAAAAACAAATATCTACTGATTTATATGAACAATTTGTTCATGATCAATTATTAATAGATTGTCTTATACGAATGAATTCATCATCGAATGATAAAGAAGAACTTATTGCTTTATGTCAACAATATTATAAAAAGGATAATATTCAATTAATGATTGTTCAAGAATTTGAAAATAATTATTCATCTGAAAAAGCATTATGGTGGTATACGAGATATTCATTTCTTTCTCGATTATTAAACAAAGCATTTCTAACTCAAAATATTGATCTATTGTTTCTATTTCGATTTTTTATTCATGATATTGGATGTCAATTAGGAAAAGATAGATGTTTATCACCAGTTCGTGTTTATCGAAGTCAATTAATGTCGAAAGAAAATCTTCAAATGTTACAAAATTCAGTTGGAAAATTTATATCAATTAATTCATTTTTATCAGCAAATATGAATTATGAAAACACTCGATCATCTCTTGATTTTGCTAAATCATTAAACGATATTAAAAGAGTTTTCTTTGAAATTCGAGCTAATCCTCAATTGCACAATATTAAACCATTCAACAATATTCAATCACATGGTTATTTTCAAAATACAAACGAAATACTTTTTATGGTTGGATCAATCTTCCGTATTGATGGAATTAAATACCCTGATGATCATATATGTAATGTTCAAATGACTTTATGTTCAGTAGATGAACAAGAATTAAAACCATTATTGGAACATATGAAGAGAGATTTAGGTATTGGAAAAACAAATCTTATTCAATTTAGTAATGTTCTTCGTCAAATGAGAAAATTAGATAATTCTGAAAAATATTGTCGTCGTTATCTTAATCAATTACCGAATGGTCATCCAGATATTCCTAATTGTTATCATACATTCGCAATGATAGCAGAATCGAAAAAAAATTTTATGTTAAGTCTAAAATGGTACAAGAAATCATTGAAAATCTTTTCAAAAACACTAAAACCCAATGATTCGAATATTGCTGAGGTATATAATAACATTGCTAATGTTTATTCAAAAACAAATGATTATACAAATGCAATGGACTCATATCAAAAAGTATTGGAGATTTGGAAGAAAATTTATGATGATAATCATCCTCGTATAGCTCAATGTTTGAATAATATTGGTGTAGTCTATGAAATGAAGAAGAAATATTCTGAAGCACTCGATTGTTATCAGCAAGCATTGAAGATTTTAAAGAACATTCCTTCTTCTAATCATCTTGATATTGCTATGACCATTCGAAATATAGCTTATGTTTATGAATTAAAGGGTGACTTTCAGCAAGCATTAGTTTATTATGAAAAAGCAAAGAAAATCTATCGTAATTCATTACCTTCAACCCAAATTTATATTAATGAAATTGAGAAAAGTATACGACGGATTTCATCGAAATGAGAATAGTTTTATTTTGTTTTCTGGTAAAGAAATTGAGAGATAATTTATTAGTTGGATCAATAAAAATGATTACTTAATTTGAATAAAGAGTCATTGTTTGGATTCTTTTTTTACGTATATTTCTTAAGATAAAAATAAAAGAAATGAAATAGTAAATAATGTGAAATAACTAGTCGAAAATAACCACTAGTATACGTCATGTTTGTTATTCGTTACTATTAGGTATGAGACGACAATAAATCTGACGATGCTAATTTGAGATAACGATTACGGTAAATAATAAAAAAACAATGAGATCTTTGGCTCTTTTTACACTTTTTTTCTTATTAAAAATTAATATCCTATATGACTACTGATGTTTGTTAAATAGCAACACATGTATTGAGTTAATCACAAGAAAAAACACGACGGCAGGTATGTAATATCTTTCATTTCTGTGCACGAAAAAGAAAAAGAAATTTTAACGTTAACATGTCTATGATCTAGATAGAAAAAAATAAATGCAGATAGAAGATAAACATTACAACTTACTTTTTGTGCTTCTTTTGCTAACAAAGACTAATGCGAATAAAAAGAGAATTATTTGTAAACGGCCAATAATAATGCATGTCATAAATGGGAATAAAGTTGAGTTTGATAACAAGCATGTATGTTTGAAGATTTTCATCTCGACGTATTTGTTAACTAAGGACAATATCAAGTGAAACTAAAAAATATTCGATTGAAAATTGACATTTCGAGCGACAGAAACAGAGCTAATCTAGTCGGGAAAGGAGCGTGTTGAGATCATAGCCTCTTCCTTCCCACTAACCAAACTGAAAATTATTCTTATTTTTACTAGTTAAAAAATCGAAAAACAAACATGCATTAGCAGTTTGTTTACTTTTTCAGAAGAAGCAGGGATAAATGAAGTCTTTCTAAAGACAATCATAAAGTAAAATCAATTTTTTTTTGTTTTACGAATAGTAACGTTTATACAAACATAGCTCACCTTAAAAAGTCTTCTGATCTTTAGTCTTAGAAGTATCTTATAATGCTTCACAATGTCTAAAAGACTTGGCATTGAACAACCATCAGAAACATGACAGTTTTCAGTGTTAAAAAGTTCTTAATAAATATGATAAGTTGTTTTGACGACAGTTTTCATTTTTGGAAAGAATTGATATAGGCACAAGACTTTTATCAGTCGAAAAAGGGAAAGTAGCTAAATGTTAAAAGGAAAATGTCGAAAATTATAAATCCTTCTGAATTCCTGATGCAAACATTTTTCTAGATTTTGATCAATACATTATAATACGCACACAGCACAATAGTGAAGGTGAAAATTATGACTAAAAAGGATTTAGATTTTCAGCATTCTGCTTTCGACATTTAGCCACCAAGCCTTCCTTCTCAACCGCTCACTAATGTTTCTTTCTGTATTTATTTTCTTTTCTCTCTTCTATATAAACTTCCCAGGTCGATCATTCCGACTATCTGAAACAACATCACAAACTGTCTGAAATGGTGTGATTATTGCCATAAACGATGAAAAACGATCGTCATCTTTCATAGGAACCTAAACGACGTTGTTTAGGATCATTTCAGTCAAAAACCAATGCACAGCACTAGGACCATATTTTCATTACTCGAATTGCGCCCTAAGTAGCATCTTTCTTATACTTTTCATCGTTATATCAAGCATTTCACTACATAAATAGCATTCCCATATACGGATTTATCGTTACAAGCTACATGCTAAGTGGATGCATGGAAAAGGAATGCACACAAGCGCAAGAATCATGCGTACTATACATGAAAGTATCACTAAACATTATTTTTAGATAAAATAGTTCACTAATAAAAACAAAAAAAAACTATAATTTCAAGGATGTATTTTTTCACAAGTAACTCACTACAGTCGTTTTTCCCAGTTTTTAAACATTTACGAACTATTGTTTCGAGATTCGAGGAACAACATTATTGGAATTCGGATAAACTTCTATTAGACATCTAGAACACAAAAGAACGAATTCTAACATCAGTGGAATTTACCTACGGAAAAAATTATGAACGACGAATATGCGAAGATGTGTACATGTACTGGATAGCTCAATATTAATATTATGTCAATCATCGTATGGCAAGACATAGAAACGTTTTTGTAAAGAGCACGTCATATCACCGAATCGATCTGAATAAAATCTATTTATCGATGCTTAAACTAACTCAAAAAAGTTAATTGGTGCCTCATATTAACAAAAAAAAAGAGTAAAGTGTATTTCAATCTCAGCAAAACACTTCCACGAAACATTAGAAATTGGTCCAACTAGAAATAGTAGATAAAATCATTAAGATTTATCTACTAAACATCATTAGAAAATATCTAATGATGTTTATAAGGTGCTGGTTTTTGATTGCATGTGAAAATGGAGTAAAACTAGCTGTCGAAACAAAGGTAGTTTCCACGGGACCGTAAACAATGATCGTATAGGATATCGTTTATTACCATATTTCTACGTTTTAGACTGCATCATAAATGATCATCGCAATGGAAGTCATTTTTTCACCGTCTTCAAGTTCTTTAAAGCCTTTTCAAGTCGTTCTATTCAATCTCGGTTCTGTTCTATGTAGCGTACTCGCATTTTGGTGATATGAGGCAGCTCAAAAAACATCATTATCTAGAGTGGAGGTAAAGCTACTCTCAAGTGTGTCGTTACACAGACATTTCTGTATATCCAACCAGTGTTACATTACTCTACTCGCTCGAAAAAACGCAAAACTAGATTATCAATATATTAGTAGAAAAGTGCCCGACATAATGTACACGGTAGAAATTTCAAATTTCTTCATAGCACCAGAGATAGGCAAGTCAAAAATGACTTGACTTGAGTCGAAATATGGCTGACTTGTTCATCTCTATCACACGCTTGTACCAAATAGGCTGTTTGCAGATGTGAATGAGTGTTACCCAGTACGATGATTTTAATCCATAACTAATCTGATCTTTACCGATTTCTACATACTTAAAAAACATTATGCCACTCTTACTCATCTGGTACGCAACATTTCAAATGTCATTCTATAGCACAAAAAGTAGTGACATCTTTTGTTGTTTTTGGAACAACTTTTCCATTCTCTTACATATTAATTGCATGCAATTCAATTGTGATCAGAATGATGTTTAACGAAAGAAATTTATTCATTAAACACAAGAAAAAAGTATACTTCGCTCTACTCTGTTCATGAGAATATAATACTATTATCGCTTCTATTTTGCCATTATATAAGGCCTAAGAAGTGAAATCATGCATGATAATATGTGGAGTGTATATTATTTTTTGTTACTAGCTAAATCTTTGCCGCAAAAATGTAATTTCATCGTTTTACTTCTTCTTCCTACCTCTTTCTTAGATAAATAGTAAGCCACGTGCAAGACTTCATTGTGTATTTTTTCTTTCTCTTTCAGTTTTTTCCTTTTTTTTTTGTCACACCAAAATAAGTGGGAAGAAACTATCGTCGATTCTTTTACGCTGATACAAGTGTAGTGAGAAGATGACTCGAAATATGATTCAAAATGAAATAGAAGAAATTCTTTCGCTAAGTAATGATGACCAACCGTTAATGATTAATCGATTAGATAAACTAATCCAGAAAGTCGGAATCGAACAAATTACAGCATGGCGAAATCCAACGAATAAATCAGGAAACACGTTAATGCATGAATTTGTCGAAAAAAATTGTCCGGATGTTATTCAACATCTAGCTGTCAAATATCAGTTCGATATAGATATTCATCGTGAATCGGATGATAAAACACCTTCTGACTTGGCTCAGTCAAAAGATGATGAAGAAATGGTGAATTTATTACAAGAACTTAACTATAACAAAATGATCGAACAAAGTCCAGACGATGCTGCATCTCAAGTGGACAATAGAAAAAAAATGAACATTGTTTGGCTCGATTTAGAAATGACATCTATTGAAGATCCTAAAATCATGGAATGTGCTGTTATAATCACAGATAAATACTTAAATGAATTAGAACGAGGTAAATTATTTTTACAAGAAAAATTTATTTTATTTTTTCCTAGATGAGTCATAGACAATAACGTACTTCCTACAACATGTTTTTCTCAGTTAGTTTTTGTTTATGAAAGAATTCATGCATAGTCATAGATGATTCACCGATCGATTTCATATATAATTACATAAAATTGCTTGTTTTCAACTTGTAATTTAAAAAAATAGCTCTGAATAAACTGACGTTATTCAACTATTGAAAGTTTTCTAACGTTATAGAACTTTGGTTTTGCTTTATTCCTTCGAATTTTGATCTTTCAAACGAAGTTGATTGAGAATAGAATACAAAATGCCAAGAATTTCTTTACTCCTTATGCTCCTGTTTGATAATTAGAAAGAAAATAAAAACCTTATTTCTACACTAGGCAAAGAAACAAAAGATTCTCTGTACACTGCAACATCACATTTTCAATGAAAATAAAAACATACCAATTTTTTTCCGTTATTGAAATGAATTCTTTTTTTTTTGTTTTCAACGAAAAGTTGTAGTATAGCAAGAATAATTTTATTAATTTCAATTAAATTAATACAAACTTTAAATTTTTTTTGAAGACGAATGGGTTATTCATTATAATCAAAAAGAATTAGATACACTTGGTTCATGGCATCAGGAGCAATTTAAATCTGTTGATGAAGGTGGAAATGGTTTATTTGAAGCATGTATCAAATCTAATCTTTCCGAAGCAGAAGTCGAACAAAAACTACTCCAAATACTTCAACGTCATTGTCCAGAAAAACAATGTCCTCTAGCTGGTAGCTCAATACACATAGATAAAGAAGTTTTAAAACAACGAATGCCAAAAGCTCATGATTATTTACATTATCGTATTATTGATGTTAGTTCATTTCGCGGAATGTTAAAACGATGGGCACCGAGAAATGAATTAAAATTTGTAAGTAAACTATCCAAAATTGGACGAGATACAGTTAACCATCGAGCTATGGATGATATTGAATATTCAATGGAACTTATGAAATTGTTTCATCCATTATTAACCGGACGTCCGTAAGTTATTTATTTAAATATTTAATAATCAAAAGAAAAAGATCAAGTCAAATTCTATAATTCTATCGAAGATTTTCGATTAAAGTACCGTGCGTTTGATAATTCACTGATCAAAAAGAAAATTCAATATCTCAACCATTTCTCAACCAAATCGAGCATTTTTTTTTTAAATGAAAGAGAAATGTTCAAAGTTTATATCTATAAAGACATGCCTAGAGAGATCCTTTTTTATGTATTACTATTGACCTCAACACAAGAATTTTACTTTTTTACAGATAGAGAAAAAAACAATACACATAACAAAGGATCTCTCTAGGCTTGTCTTTACGAATATAAAGTTTGAACATACCTCTATCATTGATAAAAAAATCAGCTCGTTTGCCTGAGCCGTAATGGAGATATTCATTTTTTTTTTTGGCAAAATGACTTTTGCCCCACTCCGTATATTGTTTTTTCTCCTATCTGTGAAAAAGTAAAATTCTTGTGTTGAGGTCAATAGTAATACATAAAAAAGGATCTCTTTAGGCATGTCTTTATAGATATAAACTTTGAACATTTCTCTTTCATTTAAAAAAAAAATGCTCGATTTGGTTGAGAAATGGTTGAGATATTGAATTTTCTTTTTGGTCAATGAATTATCAAACGCACGGTATTTGATGATAAAAAAAAAAAGAATGGTGATAGTAACTGCTTTGGAGAAAGAAAAAAGAGGATCACTTTCTTTAATTATCTATATGAATGTATTTTTATAGGTACCAAAGCAGAAAACCACAGGATCGATCATTACATAAAAATGAGAAAAATGATGCCGCAGAAGCTTCTGCTTTACCAAAAGGCAATCGTTCAGTTGGAAATTTTGAATCAGACAGATCAACATATTACGCTGATGAGAAGGCACTTATTGCGCGGTTGGAGCTCGAAAAGAAAACTAATGTAAAAGCTTTAAAACTCGATAAAAAACTTCTAGAAATGTACGATCGTAATCCACATTTACGTGAAATCGTTATTGATGGTAGATCTAAGATAGACATTCAAAAGGGATTCGGTAAGGAAAATCGTTTTTTGGATTTACACATTCCTATATCCAGTCGGAGAATGCCTGTTCAACATCATAGTACAACTGAACATTGGGGAACACGAAAACTACTCTTAACAGATATAGAGTTCTTAACAAATTACGCTCGAACTGGGAAATATTTGGTAATTTATATTGGTGCTGCACCTGGTATACACATTAACTATTTAAGTGATTTATTTCCTGATCTTGACTTTGTTCTTATTGATACAAAAAAAGTTGAAACTAAAAAAACACCAAAAATTCATATTCGTTCAGGAGAATTTATAGAAGATATAGTGAAAGAATATTCTAAATCAAGAAAAGATTTATTATTGATTTGTGATGTACATACATTAGGTACACAAGATGATTTAGACGATAACTTAGTAATAGATATGTTAAATCAAGAAGAATGGCATTCATCTATGAAACCAATTGCATCTCTTCTAACATTTCACTTTCCGCGCACACAAAATCGAATACAGAATTTTAAAGGTGATTTAATATTGGAACCATGGGCCTCAAGACGTTCTAATGGTTGTCGTTTGGTAGTTCAAAAAACTGCACGTCTTATTGACTATGATATCAAAAGCCTTAAGTTATCTATGGATTATTTTCAAAATGTGCTGAGAACAACATATTATGAACATGATTTACGAGATTCAAATACTGATGGACTTGATCATTGCTATGATTGTCGAAGTGAAATCTTTATTTTATCTCGATATCTAGAAAAGATTCAAAAAATTCCAAGCGAACAACTATTAAAGGCTGTACCGAAAGTATCTGAAGAAATTTCAAAAAGCATATCTGATAGAAACAGACCGTCGATTGTTAATGGCATACGAACACTGGCTGTTATTCCAAAAAAATAAATGATGATTCATTTTCCTATTTCAATTACAATGAATTTCTTCGGACTTCATGAACAAAAAACAGACTCAGAGGGATAAAGGATTCAATGAAAAATTCTGTCTCTTTTTTTTTTCGTAGCATTCACATAGATAATCTTGATTTTTCTGCGACGATTGATATCGTATTATAATTAATTGTCTACAATGCAGAGAAATATTCGAAAACATCTGTTTTCTTTTCAATGGTAAAAACCGCAGTTGGTAAGCTGTTTCAGTTTTTGAGCGTTTCGTCTTACATTCGTTTTCTTGTAATTCTTTCAGCAACTATACTTAACAAAATATAATTACTGTTTTCGAATAAAATAACAATACTATTTACGATAGTAATTCAATCAAACTATCTGTTATGAGAAAGCTTGAAGAATGAAGTTAACTTCATAAATCTTCATTATTGACGGTATTGAAAATTTAACAAGAAAATATAATTAAAAAAAAAAAGGCAAATATTCGGTATAAATATTGTTGGGAAGCAATTATCTCTGTGTGAAAATGATATTTTAGATTTGACTACCTTTTGAATATATAAAATAGATTGCATTCAATGTAGTCTTTTATTTTAGAATACTAATCAGTCTATTGGATGTAGGAACTAAACCATTTTATCCCTGTCTTGACGTAAAAAATATAACACTAGTTGCATCTATCGCTTTTGTCACCTTCGATACTTTTTATTATTAAAACATCGATCAACATAAATCATTTGAATGATTTTATTAGCCTATGTCTAAAACTAATATTAATAATGAAGACTTGTATTTTCTATTTTTCATTAAGTAACTTCTCATATAAAAATAATCGATTGTTGTATCAAAGCTAAAATTTAAGTTCATAATTTATTGAATGAAATCTTGGAATCACTCATCAGAATTTACAAACCAATGTCCTAGATCATGGTCTTGAACATCAAAGAGCCTTATTCGTAATTAAGGTATCCCCTACTCTTGAAAAATTTTCGTTTGTTCCCAGCGGAGTTTCTGTGTTTTATTACTTTTTTTTTTCTGTTCACCAATTCCCAAAAAATTATATGGTTTCTAAACGAATCATTGAATTCCAACACATTTGTCATAGTTTCGAAATGGACTGAGAATGGTCAGTATTCATCGGGTAAAAACTCCGACTATTACCATGAGAAATGTTGACAAAATGTTATTTATTCTTCTGGTGAACGAAGTTCACTGAGTATCGGAATTAGTGAAAAGTATTTTTTTCTAACTCAGACTTTCAGATAATTCACAGATTTGAAGTTTTTACGTCGAAAAATTTTAATCTTTGAAAAAAATGACGAATCTCGGGCAAAACGTGAAACTTTTTTAATGAAAATATTTTCTACATAACTTCTCATGAATCTATGCTTATTGCAATGCTAAATTTTGGTCATAAAAATTATTTTTCAAATTCTTTCGGTTGATATTATCGAAAGCAAAGAACAAAGTGAATAATCGTTTCAAAAATCCAACGTATGGACAAATATACTTTTTTCCGCTAAATGTTCCTATGTTATACAGCAGTATAAAAAGTTTAGTTAATTTCCAGATACAAAAAAATCTTTTGAAGGTGATGGTATACTATTCACCGTCATTCTCAAGAAGAGCCTTGGTTGACTACATTTCATGTAAATCAATGAGAGAATTAATTGTTTTATTGAAAACAGCTGTTGTGCATTTGTATATGTGACGTTTCATTTGCAATTTTAAAAGAAATGTTTGTTTTTGTCGTTGTGTAACATTAATATTTTTTTTTGTATTCATCGTATGTTCAGACTTCTCAATAAAAGTTTCCATGTAGTGCTAAATTATGTCATTAATAAAATAAACAACTTCATCATGTTTCACATTTCAATCCCACCCAAAAATATACGAGAGTTTTGTGCGGATTCAACTTTTCGAACCCGCATCCGACTCGACCCGAGAAATATTGTCACTTGACTAGTTTTAAGAGCAATTGATTGAATATTTCCATTTAAATGATAATGAAGAGCTATTGTAAAATATGAACCAGATGTGAAATAAACTTTTTTTCGAGATTCGAATAAAAAGAAGTACAGCAATAAGACGCTGATAAAAAAAAACGTCATTTATACCTCTAGCTAATACTTATCCTCTACACGAAATAGTTGTTGAATCTGGAATAATTGATGAAACGTCAATTACTGTTGTAACTTCTCGTCCAACATCAATTAGTGTTTGACATAATAATTCAAAGTCTCTATCTGAAACCGCGGTATAAGGTCTCGTACCATAACTATACCTTGTATCATATGCATCAATAATAAGTTATTAACGTCTGAATGCACATTACTAGTCTTGATTAACATATTTTCGATGGTATACATCGGAACACCAGTTGCAAATTTACATAAAGAGGCATGATTTTTCAGCGTGCTTGAGTCAGTATTTTTTTTGGTTCATAGACAACTTCTTGCATGACACATATTGTACGTAATTCATGATTTTATCATCAGTGTCTATAATACAATGAAAATTGTTCCACTAGGTAACATTGAATTGAGGTTTCTCCAAAATTGTATATCCTCCACTTTCAATGGCTTTTCGAATGTTTTTCTTTTGAACTCATTTCCGAACGACAACAACAACAGAAGTATTAAAATAAGAAAAAGCAGTATTTATTGTTTGTAGACAAAGAAATTTTGCATGTATTCATGTAGTGTCTTGAAAACAAGCCAAAAGATTTTTACTTCACTATTCTTTGTGTAGTATAGAAAAATAGACGATACGAGCTTGTATATTATGAGAAAAATGAAATCCGACAAAAACCCGATACATTTTTAAATTAAACCCGAACCTGCTTGCGAGTCAGATCAAGTCAGGTCGCAGGACTCTAAAATACACTGATAAACCTTAAATACCAAAGTTGAATATATTTATTTGTTCATTTATTTATTCAACGATAAACGAATACGAAACATATCTTTTTGATCTCTACTCATGAAACATACAGATGGTATATGATTTTGTATCCATTGATTAAGTTCGTCATTGTTTTTTTCATCTTTACATCAAACTATCAATGATCGTAAATTTAAGATTTTATTAATAAATTCAATAATATCTATTCAATTTTCTACATTAATTAAAAGAATTTTACATTGTTTTTCAAGCAATGAATGGGATAAAATTTCACATTCAATACTATTAAAATACCGAATATGATAAATAGAATTGCCTATTAAATCAATTCGTTGAATTGATTTAGTTTTTATTCGAAATATTTCCATCGGTAAATCATTGAAATATTTCAATCTTAAAGAGTATAGATGAGGAGCTTGATTAATAAATGTTTCAAATAATGAATAAGAAAAATCATTACGTATGACAGTATCCAATGAATGTAATCGATCTAATCTTAGAAGAGCTGACAAAATATTTTCATTCAATGAACAATGTAAATCAAGATGACGAATATTTAAAAATCGAGCAGGATATTGATAAAAATTATTTTCAAATATTATTTTATTTACATGATTATACAACCAATAATCACCATTATTAAAACAAATAGATTTTGATTGATATTTATTTGAATAAATAAATTCATCAAATGTATAAGGTAATGTATAAAGAATATTATTTAATGAATACCAATCACATCGAACAAACCACTAGTGTATATTAGTCCGAAATGGATTTCGAAATGAATCAAGTAAAACATCAATTTCATTTTATTGATTAAATGCAAAATTCATTTTTAATTGAAAATCTTTTATACTGGCTACATGATTAATAAAAATTTTCTCCCATTCATATCCATTCAAATAGACATGTGATAATTGAAGTGTTAAAGAAATTAAATTAGGCAATTTTTGCAAGAGATTTTCAATTGAATATTTTGAACCTTCAAAAGTTAAATTTAATGAAATAATTGATGAAAATATGATATGAAGTTGTTCATTGTTAGAATTGTATTCAATATTTTGATAAAGTTTTTTAAGATGATGTGTATGTTTAAATAAATGTGATAAATCATTTAAATCACAATGAATATTTTCTATAGATAAATATTCAATTGTTAATGATATTGGTATCATTCGAAGAAAATTTGTTCGACCTATCCAAAAACAATCAATATGACAATGTATTAATTTTGATAAATTCCAAATATTATTTGTTAAGCATAAAAGATCATTCTTGTTTCGGTAATAATTACATTGAATTAAATTAAGATGAATCAAATGAAAAAGATGATGACAGTCGAATATCAAATGATTTAAACGATTGAATGAATGAATAGAATAGAGTGTAAGTGAATGTAAATAACTGAATTGATTGAGAGTAAAATCTCAAGAAAGAAAAAGTGAAGATAGATTAGGTGTTTCATCATTATCACATAAACATAATGAATGTATTTTATTGAGAATTAATGGAAGATGTTGTTGACAGATGATATCGAAATCATGTTTAAGTACAGATCGAAAATTAAGAGAATAGAGTTCCAAATACGAGAAAAGAAATTTATTAAATCGAATGTTAAGACCATGAAAAGCTCAAAGTAATTGAATTGAATTTAATAATTCGATTATATCAATTAATAATTGATTAGGTAAAGATTCTAAATTCATTCTGATTGCAATACAAGCTAATTAAAAGATTATTTATATTTTTCGTGATAGAATTATCATATGAGATATAGACATAGAATGAATGAGATCAGTTAGAATCCAATTCATAAGTCTACAATGGATCCAACTAATACATTACTATTAGTTGTCGTTAGTTATCGATACAACGTGGACAAAAAGGAATAGTCGGTTGAAATATGCTATAGAGGATATGCAATATCAGATACAATTCGACTATTATACAATAGACCATTCTGTTTAAAAGAAAGGCAACTTTGTTAGATTTTTAAGACAGACGAGAGTTACATTTGCTTACTAATGAGATAATACTATGAAAACTTCTTCTGATTAACCTTTTTAACATTTCTTTATTATTTAAAGCCATCAGAAGAAAAAGAAAAATAATTTACATTCGAGTTATTACATAACCCGTGTTCTGATACAAAACTGTATGGAAAAGCGAATCATTTTTTTTTCAAGTTATTTAGATTCAGTAATCTATTAATTCACGATTTAGTTCAATTTACTTGATGACTCGTATGCTATATTTGTTCTCAACAATGGTTCGCACTTTTCTGAGTTAAAATATCATAACCAGACATCATCGTTGTTGAAGTAGTTCTTAATTTTAATATTTCCTTTGTATAACCCAATGGATTATTTGTGATTTTCACATGGGTAATACATTAGATCACCGGAAAAAAAAATAATTTCGAACATATTTGGCAAAAAGAATACCATATTAAATCTCTTTATCAGAATACAAAATATTTAAGGTTTACTTCCGGATATCTAAGCTAAATCGTGTCACCTTATGAATTTCGTTCTATTGATGAGAAACGTATGTTTGTAGATGTCATTCATAAAATAAACACTCATGTAATTCAAATGGGACAAAAACCATCGGTAAATTGTCAGTAGACAGTTCAGTATAATGTGCACTGTGCCAGCGATATTTGTCGATAATGACAAAAAAATCATCGATATACCGATAATCAACCGGCGGTGGTTTGATACTTAAATGATCGACTATCCTCTCATTGCCATTCAATCGTGGTATACCGGTGGTAGTGCAAACAAACGTGCAACATTGTTACTGGTAAATACAATATAGAAGCAGAAATCATGAGACAACAGCATTGATAGAATAAAACTTTCTCGATATAGTTATTAAGCTATCCATTTCTATCCTCGAAAAAGTCAATTTTCGTCAAAAACATAAAAATTGAGATAAATCAATGGAAAGGAAGTTCGAGCTCTAATCTTTCATAAATCACATGATTTTTTTATTTAACATCTTGTTTTTTTCAGATGAAACTGAAAATCTTTTTCGTTTTTTTTTCTTTGCCTATATTTTTTTTGATCATGCATGTCAGTACTCTCGTAAGAGCTTGATTGTAGCTCATGACTTTTTTTTTTGTTCGAAAGAGCATGTCAAGATGTAGGACATGACAGAATCCCTTTTTTGAAGACAACTTTGTTACTATATATACATATTATTAACAAGTAGCAATTAAAAAAACGATCTGTGTGTCATACTCTGCATCTTGACATGTTTCTTCAAACAAGAAAAAATAAAGTCTATAGAATGAAGACCCACAGAGAATTTTGGATTGTCAAATGAGTTATTTTTGATTCTTGTTTGTTGAATATTTCACGAAAACATCATGGTATATAACTAAAAGTTCCAGCATAACTTCTCCACTACCCATGAAAAAGAAATTTGCAAAAAGTAGCGTTTGAACGCCAACTTTCTTGAAGAAAACGCTAATTTTGCGTTTAAACGCATTAGTGTGTAGTTAGGACGCGTTTGAACGCATTCTTTTTTATTTGAGATGCGTTTGAACGCATTGTTTTTACTTACAACGCGTTTTTTAAAATAAAAACGCCACCTGATATCATCATTTGAACGCGTTTGCTTTTATGCGTTCGGAGGCATTTATTTTTCATGCATCTCAACGCATTCTTTTACCAAAAAAATGAATTTTTTACAAACGTACAAGAATGTGTTTATTTTTGAATGTGTTTTTTGTGAAAAACGAGGTTTTCACAAGCATGTTGGAACGTTGTTTTCTTTAACGCATTTTTTCTGAAGAAAACGTGTTATTTCGCAAATAAGTTAAATGATATTTAGATTAATATTTACAGTAAAAACACCGTTTCATGAAGTAAGAGTTTGCTACAAGTTAGACAAACATTGCACAATGTTACACTCAAAGATATATGGTTTAAATAGACCCATTCTGCAGTTAAATATTATGATCATAGTACAGTAGAATCTATTTGAATATAACTAAAGAAAGAAATAGTTTTGTACAAAAAGAACAAGTGCAGACTGATTAGAACAAATTTAGTTTGACTGAAAAAACTTGTTGAGCAAGTTGAAAAAGTTATAGATACTCAGAAAGGTGAAAAATCAAAAAAATTTCATCATTTTAATGCCATTGTTTTCGCGTTTTTGGTATAAAATTCACAAAAGTCTTGGAATTTCTTTCATTTATTGACTCCATGGATAAAATGATACCGATGTAACGACTCTGTTAAATTAGTTCCCTTCATTGATTAATCCTGTGATACTTTTTAAAATTTTTCATAAAATTTCTAAAGAATCATACTTAGATCACTATTTTCTAACATTCGCAATTCCTTAAAAGAGATTATACGAAGAAAAAATAGTGCATATACGTTTATCGTCTTCACGGTACTCTATTCAAATTTTAGTTCAGTTCTTTTTTTTTCTTTAGTGATTTTCTGTAGTGGCCGTCGAAAAATCTTAGTCGCTTTGTTTCCAGTAAAAGTTCGAATATATCTATAACCTATTCCTCGAAGAATGCTGCAATTTGATATGCATAGAGTTTCGTTTCTCTTCAGACATAATTTGCGAGTAATACCGATAGCAAACCTGATCTTTCAGACATTTTGTCTCTTTATATTTCTTCATAGCATCTGTTTCTTTTAGAATCAAAATGAGGTATTGTAAAAATTTTTGTCTATTCCTCTTATTCTTTAATATGTGCTTTATGTCTAATTGATGAGCTTAGTGTCACAATGGAGTTGACTGAGAAAAACAAAGACATACGGAGTATTTTCATTGAATAAATATTTTTACGGAAATCTTTGATTTTTTTCTGCTTGTAAATTAAAAGTTCTTTGGAATAAATCTTAGTCATTACTTTATAATCACCAAAAAAATTATCTGATAGGTGGCGCCGATAGAGATAAATAATATAACACATGCTTTTTAAGAGCGTTGAGTTTCATCCAAAAAATTCAGATTCGTTTATAGAAAAATTATCTAATGAAAGTTTTTCGTATGTCAACGTGCATTGGTTGTTAGAAATATCACATCGTATAGCCTTGTAGTTAGAAACATCGCATCGTATAGTTTTGTAATTAGTAATATCACATCGTATAGTCCTATAATTAGTAATATTACATCGCATACCTCTATAGTCAGAAATATCGCATCGTATAGCTTGAATAGAAATCTCACAAATCGAAGCTAAGTGACAACTACATATCCGATTATCTTTCCCTTAATCATCTTCAAACTATTTAATTTCGTTGAGATCTACCCTCTGATTGCAACCATATTTTTATCGACTACACGGATTCACATTTTAAGACTTAAGAAGGCTTATATTATCATATTTTTTCCTATAAAAGCTCTGTTCTATCTCCTTATCTATAGTACTTATCTTATCATAGTTACATCATTTTATTGTATTTTTCTCAGTAACTTCTTTACCAAAAGTTCTAAGAATTTCAGAAAAGATAAATTGTAGTCAGTACAGCATAAGTCGAAGTAAAGTTGACACCCAAGAGCTCCTTATATTTGATTTATACTTAAACTTTTTGTTAGACTAATGGAGCACTTCAGTATATCAACTTTACTTCGATTTATGCTGTAGTGACTACAATTTATCTTTTCTGAAATTCTTGGAACTTTTGGTAAAGAAGTTACTGAGAAACATACAATAAAATGATGTAACTATGATAAGATAAGTAATATAGCTAAGGGGATAGAATAAAGCTTTTATAGGAAAAAAACAACGCGTTTTACATCAATAAAACATACCGTAATGAACGCGTTTTCGAACTGCTTGTTTGCGTTTATAGTGGAAAAAAACGCGTTTCAACGCGTTTTAAAAACTGCGTTTAAGATCTAGCGAAAACATGCGAACCAGAAAAAAACGCGTTGAAACGCAAACTTCTACAAAAATCTTTTTCATGGGTATAGCCAGAATATCTTCTGAAAATTTCACGCGGTTTGTATATACCTGGTCTAAGATCGATGTTTGAGGGATGAAGAGAGATCTTTAAATGATCACGCATAAAGATTATAAAATAGGTTTTCATTTCTTTAAGCAATTTTCTTTTCTCACATGTTTCCATACCGTTGAAAACTTGTCTTTACAGTACATGCACTAAACATCTAGATTTCGTCTAAGCTAAGATGTTAGTTTTCT